GTCTAAAAAATCAAGAGATATAAAAGAGAAAATAGAAAAAGCTTTTAAATAAGCATATTTTTTAATTTCAACTAATTAACACAATCGATATTATTCATTAACCAAAGAATAAGTTATTCTTGTTTTTTTAAATTTGAGAGAAGGGTGAGGCACAATACAAAATTTTAAAATCTATAAATTCTTTTCTCTTCCATTTAAAAAAAATTCCTCCTGTATTTAAAGAGAAAAAAAAAAGCTATTAGCCAACAACTATAAAAATAGTTGGTGGCCAACAATTATTTGTTTTTGCCATTTTTACAGAGAAATGGCTGGCCAGTGATCAAATAGCCAAATTAGCTATTTATTTGGGTATTGTGTTGGAGTAAAAAATGACAAAGTAAAAGCTAAAAGTACACTTTTTAACAATTGGCTCTTCATTTGACTCATGCGTTGGAGATGCTCTAATGTTTCTAGATACTCAGACTTGGTCACTTAATTTTTTTTTTATTTTACAAATTTTGATTTTTATTTTTAAAAAACAAATAATATCAACATCAATTCAATAAAAAAATCAATTATTTTTAAAATCACATTGAACATGTTTAATTTTTTTTTGAAATTTAAATTCTTTTAAAAAAATACTGAAAATATTAAAAATAATATAAATATATTAAAATTATATTTTCTAGGCATTTTAACTATTTTTGACCTTTTCAAAAACTTATTAAAAAACCTGGTTCAAAAATTAAACAGTTATAGAGTTAACAGAGAAACTGTTTTAGTTTCTTTGTTATAACTTGCTTGAAAGTAGCCTGAAACTCTAACCCTGTTTTTTTCTTTTGTTGCTTTTAATGGTTATATCAACTATTAATAAACTTCTCATCATTCATTTTTTTTAAAAAAACCTAAGGTTTCCCACTTATTGTTTAAAAACAGAGTAATACTTTAATTTTCTGAAAAATTGAAAATTTATGTTCAAACATAATATTTCTCCATCCAAGAATTAAAAAATAATTTTTAAAATTTTCAAATTTATATCAAGTTTAAAAAGCAGGTTGTTCATAGTTTTTCATTTTTTTTTTCAAATAAAGAAAAAAATAAATGATACAATTTTTGTTTTATATATAAGCAATTTTTTAGCAATGTAAAATATTAAAATTATTTTTTATATTTTCATATTTAATTAGTATTAAAAATTTAACTTTTATTATAAATCTAATATAAAGTTTTTCTATTGAATTAACAATATAACATTTTCATATATATTTTTAATTTGAATGAAATAAAATTAATATTCTAGAATGAGATTATAACAAATACAAATTATTAAGATTACTATTATAAATTATGGTTTTGAGTTTTTTTATAAAAAATAATTGTAATTTTGATGTGTTGTTTTTAGCTTTTTTAGTGGAAAGAACTCATTTTTATTTTCAACAAATTAACACGTTTTTCATTAAAAAAGGGAAAAAACTTTTTAAAAAATAAAGATAATCATTTTATATTACTAAACACACCCTAAAAGTACTTCTTATATATAATTCTTACTTAAAATTGTTCCACTAACATAAACATACAGTTCTACTTGGCTTACGAGAGAAGTCCTTAATTCATAGTGTCAAATTATACGATGCACCTGAGTTTTCAACTTCATATTACCAAATTAATTATAAAATTCAAATCCTAAATTTAAGATTTCAACACATTTTTGAACTCAAATAGTGTATGGATGACAATTTAAGATTGCTTGATACTCGATTGAACATGGTGAGTTTATATATAAATAGCTAATATATTAATGAGAAAGATACCCTTTTATTTCTTTAATTTTTCTAGAAAATTATATATATATATATATATATATATATATAAAGAAGCATTTTGCCGTTTTATTATTGTTAAGTTTCCAAGGATTTTTAAATAAAAAATAATTTAATATGTTTGATAAAAAATACTTTTTAAATTGAGTAAATTCTGTAAATCTGTAAATGCTATGTCATTATACAATCTTTTTCTAATTTATATAATGTTATTAAATAATATTAAATATTAATTTTTTAACTAAAATATAATTAAAAAAATAAATTTTTTTATCAGATCTGTTCTGATCGAAATAAAAAAAAATTTAAATTGGATCCCGTCCGGCCAGAACAGATATTTTCCATTGTTCAAAACAATAAAGACATGAATATTATTCATTGTCTATGTATAGTGGAGGGTGAATATTCACTTTTACAAAAATAAACAGTAAGACTGTTGTTGGGCGGGGAGGAGGAGAGATGCAACTCGAAATTGCTATCTATTGACCTGTGTTTGAAACGTGAAATATAATAAGTTACTTGTTAAATAAATTATATTTTCTTAATCATTAAACATTTACTTCTTGTAATTTACTTTAAAAACAGTATCAATAATAAAAATAAACACTCTTTAACAATAACCCTAGAATCTCAGTTTGAAAATTCAAATCCATATCAATTTAAATTAGGATATGTTTGGTACCATACCACTACCAATCCAATACTAGCAACCATCTAGCTAGTGGCCACCATTTATAAATTGAAAAAAATATTAACATTCTAAACCTTTTCGATATTATTTTTATATTTCTCAAAACAGGGGAATTTTTCTATGTGAATAATAAACGAATATCAATAGTGAGTTCACCTTTTGAGTTTCATTAAAGTCTTTTTTTTTAAGAGAAAAAGATTTTTGTGTATTTTTTTTTAAAGATACTATAATATAAGATATTTTATCAAATCTTTAAGAGGTCAACTATATTTTTTTCCAATACTACAATGTAATTCTAGAAAATGTACACCAACTGATATATTAACATAGTTGTGGATAATTTAACAAATTAATTATTATATTAGTATATTTATTGATATAACAATTGATATATTGTTTTGCTTATTATTATGTCTCAAATTTCTTAATTTAAATATATAAAATAGATATAAAGGAAATAAAAATAAAATAAAAAAATCCTATTAATTCCATTAGCTATTGAATTATTAAAGATGATATTGAAATTATTTTGTGATAATTCAATTGAAACACAGAGACAATACTATATTTTGAAAATGTAATTATAAAATACTAGGTTCATTAATGTTTAACTCATAGGATAAATAATATATATTTTATCCAACTATCTCAAGAAAAAAAAAAAAAAAGTCCACCCAATAATTAATAAGCAGTAAAATGAAAGATGAGTCGTTCGTACTGGTAATTGCTTTTAATCGACCGAACACGAAGTCCTTTCCTCCTCGTCTTCATCAACTCCTTCATGTCTGAAACGTAGAAAGTCAAAAACTTGCATTACCTCATTTACTTCTCCATTAATACAGCACATAAATAAGACCCAGATAGCCCTTTTGACCTGTTTCTTCTTTGATGTTTTCTTGACCATTAACGAGGAAAAGAGGTGGAGATTGATCTGTATTTGTATTTATACTTAAAGAGAGATGTTGGAGAAGATTAGACTACCAGCAAGGCCATCATTGAGAGGGAGTGATTGGGTAGCTGATGCTTCACATTGTCAGGGATGCTCTTCTCAGTTCACTTTCATCAATCGCAAGGTGTTTTTTTTAAAAAAAAATTATTATTAAAGTAAAAATTGAACCTTTTCAATCTTTTTTGATATTTTCTTCAATACCCATGTCTCAAAATGTCTTCTTTCAGTTCTCTCTTTGTATAATCGCTTGATCATGATTTGTTCATTCTTTGATTTCTATGTTATGATGATCACTTATAGCTTAGTTAGGAATATTTGGATCATAAGTTGAGCTTCTTCATAATTATTAGTCTTGTGCTTGTTGTAGATATCAACTGTCATAAATTTTAGCTTTGGATTTCATTTTGTATGTTAAAAATCTATAATAAGTTTATTATTGGTTCTTAGTACTCATGCAAGCTTGTTTATCGGATTTTATAATGATATGACTGTTGATTTCCATATGGGTTTTATCTTGTCTAGACTTTATGAAATACTGATTCATGTGTAATTGGATTTGCAGCATCATTGCCGAAGATGTGGAGGTTTGTTTTGTGGCAATTGTACTCAGCAAAGAATGGTTTTGCGAGGTCAAGGTGATTCTTCTGTGCGTATTTGTGATCCTTGTAAAAAGTTAGAAGAGGCTGTACGTTTTGAGATGCGGTACGGACACAAGAATAGAGCTGGGAAAGGTATTTTTTTAGTTTTTGATTATGATCATTGATGTTCCTTCCATCACATAGCCCATTCATGTACTGTTTTACTCATTGCATCACTGCAAAATTCTCTGTCCTTCTAGTTCTTCATTCATTCAATATATCTAAGGATTGTTGTTTGGCTACTCAAGTTTGTAGAAAGGTTACTTTTAGTGTCCTTTGTTCTTTCCCTGGCTTTGGAAAATCTGTTAGTTTGTGTTGAAGTTCATTTCTCTAGCTCATGAAATGATGTTTGGACATGCAAATGCACACTGTCTGATGTTCATGAATATGTGCACAGTGAGATATAATGCATCTTCTTTTTAAATGGTACCTTTGTCTAAACCTAGATGGATTTTTGTGTAGGAAGTTCAAGAATGATGGCAAAGAACGAGGATGAAATTTTGAATGAGATTCTAGGCAATGATAGAAAGGAAACTTCTTCATCAGGACGACAGTCCAACACTGACATGTTTTCTAGCATTCAAAGGGCAAGTAGCTGTGCTTCCTACTCAAATACTCAACAAGTTGATGCTCTGGATGGTGGAGGAGAAATACATAGAAGTCATTCTGTGGATGAGTGCAATCATGTATATAGTGAGGTGGGATCAACCACCCCTGAGGGATTGCATCAACAAGCTTTGGATGAAAAGAAGAGGTATAAAATCTTGAAAGCTGAGGGGAAGTCTGAGGAGGCCTTGAAAGCCTTTAAGAGAGGAAAGGAGCTTGAGAGGCAGGCTGATGCTTTGGAATTGTCTACTAGAAAAAATCGTCGGAAGGTTTTGTCTTCTAGCAACGTAGTTGAGATTCCGAATGAAGACGGCCCCAAAGAATCTGTCAGAAAAAGTAAACGCCTTGCTCAAGTCAATGAAAAGGACAACTTTACTGCTGAACTCAGAGAATTAGGGTGGTCTGATATGGATCTCCATGACAAAGACAAAAAACTGGTGAAAATGAGTTTGGAGGGTGAACTGTCTTCTCTTCTTGGAGAAATCTCTGGTAGAACTAATAAGAACACTGGAAGCAGTGGCATTGACAAAACCCAGGTTTTTGAACTTAAAAGAAAGGCGCTAGCTTTGAAACGTGAAGGAAAGCTTGCTGAAGCCAAGGAAGAATTGAAGAAAGCAAAAGTTTTAGAACAGCAGCTTGAAGAACAGGAGTTGTTGGGTGTGAATGAAGATTCTGATGATGAGATATCTGCTTTAATCTCTAGCATGGACAGTGATCAAGAAGACAAACTATTTGCTGAGGATGAGCAGGGTCATGATTTTGATTTTGATCACCTTGTGGGCACAGCTGATGATCTCCATGTTGATGGTAACTTTGAAGTGACACATGAGGATCTGGTGGATCCAGAATTAGCTGCTACACTTAAATCATTAGGCTGGACTGATGATTCTGATACTTTGGAAACCACTGCTACACAGTCTGTCCCAATTGATAGGGAAACTCTACAAAGTGAAATTCTTTCACTGAAAAGAGAAGCACTTAACCACAAACGAGCTGGCAATGTTGCAGAGGCTATGGCTCATCTAAAGAAGGCAAAGTTGCTTGAGAGGGACCTTGAAAGCTTAGGAGGTGAAGTGGGCAGCTTAATTGCACATGATACCACAAGAATGATGAAAAGTTCACCTTCCCAAAATACTAATGCAAAGAGCAATGTGAATTCTAAACCTGCACCAAAAAGTAGATTGATGGTTCAGAAAGAGCTCTTGGCTTTAAAAAAGAAGGCTCTTGCTTTGAAAAGGGAAGGTAGATTGGATGCGGCAGAGGAAGAGTTGAAGAAAGGCAAGGTTCTTGAACAGCAGCTTGAAGAGATGGACAATGCTTCAAATGTCAAAGGGAAACAGGTGGCTGTTGGGAGTAAGAACCCAGATTTGGAAAATGAACATCCTAGTATTTCTGGAAGTCCACCAGTTAGAGAAGGGGAGGAGGATGTAACAGATCAAGATATGCATGACCCAGCATACCTTTCACTTTTAAGAAACTTAGGTTGGAAAGATGATGACATTGAGCATGCAAACTCTCCATTTAACCCTCCTAAGGAAAGTGATAACCTTTCTACTCAAACAATCAATACTTTAGACACTCAGTCTGCATCCAGTATCTCATTGAGGACACCAAGAAGAAGCAAAGGTGAAATACAGAGAGAGCTTTTAGGCCTGAAAAGAAAGGCTCTTACTTTAAGACGTGAAGGTAAGATTGACGAGGCAGAGGAAGTGCTTATAGCAGCAAAAGCTTTGGAGACCCAGATTGCAGAGATGGAAACACCGAAGAAAGAAATTCAGAATGAGTCTAACAAGCCCAAGGATGAAATTGTCAGACCTGTTAGCAGTGCAGCAGAGGAAGGAGATGTAGATGATGTTGCAGAAAAAGATATGCATGACCCATCACTGCTCCCAATGCTAATGAATTTAGGGTGGAAGGATGATGAAGTTGAAGTTGTAACCGTGCAAGCAAAGTCATCTAAACAAGTTTTGGATCATTTGATGCATTCAACTGATCCATCTGCAATTCTGCTCTCTTCCAGCATTTCAGCTGCCAGACCAAGAAGCAAAGGTGAAATCCAAAGAGAGCTCTTGGTTTTGAAAAGAAAGGCCCTTTCCCTTACGCGTAATGGAGAAACTCAGGAAGCTGAGGAATTGTTGAAAATGGCCGAGGTACTAGAGTCCCAAATAGATGATCTGGAAGCTCCAAAGAAGGAGCTCTTCCCTGATGCTTCTGAAGACAAAAAATATCAGGGTACTGGATCATTGAATAACCATGTAAAGCAGAATAATGTGAACAATGCAGTGGAAATGATTGAAAAATTGGCATCGGCGGCAGCAGCAGTGGATCCTAATGATAAAGTTATCGAGTCATTCCCTGGTTTAGGAAGAAAGGGAAGTGACAAAACTGCTCCTCCCTCGTGGAGTCCTGATATTGTCAATCCAGTGCCTTTTGAGATCAATGAAGACAACTGTCCATCTGTAGGAGAGCTTGATCTATTGGATGAAATGGGATCCTTAAGTAACTCAAGAATAAGATCCTTAAGTAACTCGAGAATAAATCAAGGCACTGAGTTCTTTCCTCCACCTCATCAGTCTATGAATCTGATGGATTTGCTGACTGGTGATAATTGGAGTAGTCCTCAAATACCAGCCAGAAAACTTGAAGATAAAGTCGATTTTGGTTCTGATATGTCCTGCCTGCCTGAGCCTCATGTTCATGTTGGCTCCTTGAGAAGTGGGCTTGAAAATCTCAGAAGCAAGGACAGAGAAGCCAATTCTATTTCTGATGTTTTCCATTTTCCTGATCCCCATGTTCATATGGGTTCCATGATACATGCACCTATGGATCTTGGAAGCACAGAAAATGTTAGAACTGGAAAGAGAGAAGAAACATTTCATTCAGGCAAGGAGCCCCATGTTGATAAAACAGATTCTGCTCAGGGATTGGGTTCCCAGAACAACATAAATGCCCTTCAACAAGAAGTTTTGGCTCGCAAGAGGAAGGCAGTTGCGTTAAAGAGAGAAGGGAAATTGGCAGAGGCTCGAGAGGAACTTCGGCAGGCAAAGCTGTTGGAGAAGAGTCTTGAGGTCGAGACCCTTGAGCCTGTAAGGGGTACCCATGATGGGTCAACATATGTGTCAAATGCTCCTCCTCTTCAACAAAAGGATCCCAGTGCCCCAAAATTTTCTCCAAAACCACTGTCTGGGCGTGATCGATTTAAGTTGCAACAGGAGTCACTGAGCCACAAACGTCAGGCCCTAAAGCTGCGAAGAGAAGGCCAGGTGGAAGAAGCAGAAGCTGAGCTTGAATTGGCCAAGGCTTTGGAAGCCCAGTTGGATGAAATATCTTCTAATGATTCTGGAAAGTCTTCTGTCAACATAGCAGAGCCAGTAGATGATGTAGTTGTTGAAGATCTTCTCGATCCCCAACTTCTATCTGCCTTGAGAGCAATTGGTATTGAAGATAGAAATATTATATCACAAAGTTCAGAGAGACCAGGGCCTGCAAAAGTTAGTCCTACCAAGAGTGAAAAAAATAGCCAGGAAAGAAATCAGTTGGAAGAACGGATCAAGACAGAGAAGGTAAAGGCAGTAAATTTGAAACGTGCAGGGAAGCAAGCTGAAGCTTTGGATGCTCTCCGACGGGCCAAATTATATGAAAAGAAACTAAATTCCTTGGAATGAATTTGATCATTAAGGATGCTTGAGAATCTTCCTAGTATGTTTTCAGGAACACATTTGGATTGGAGATAAATAAAGTTCCTTTTCCCACATTGGATCCGTACGAATTTGTATTATGGAAACTAGAGGGACATTGTACCACATGAATTTGCATACCTTTATGGTGAGAGAGAGAGTATTGTCGAATGGTTCTCAAGCAGGTTCTTCTCTACTGTAATGTCTGATTTATTTATTTTAAAAAACGACAACAGTTTGAGCTGTTTGGCTTCATCTGTAGTTGTTTCTATGATAGCATGTTATAATTGCTCAAACGTTAAACAGTATTGCAGATTTGACCATTCTATCACTAGCAACTAATAATTTTTCAATGACAGGTGTTCTGGGAATTTTCACAAACTGTTGCCTGACAACGAATTTTGTGAAAAATGAGAAACTTTGTGAAGTCCCCTGGAGATTCTACGAGGACATTTAGAAATTGTCCCACCATTTTTTTCCCTGTTATTTGAAAATTTTGGAGGAGCTGTGTTACTAATTTCAGATTCAAATACATGAACTTAAATGCATGAACTTAAATGCATGAACTGAAGTGCTGGTTGCTTTTCTACCTTTTTCCAGTGGTTTAGTCTTTTCCTTTCTTCATCATCTTTGTTCCCCGGTTTATTCTTTTCTACCTCTTCTTCTTCTTCTTCATTCTTCATCCGCTTGTCTTTCTATAGAATTCAAGTTTCATGCAGAGGAGCAAGAGCTTTGGTTTGTGAATTGAACATCTTTGAACACATACGGATCCTGTAATTGAAGTTATCATCTCTTTTACACACACACACACGCACACGCACCGTTACGCTAATTCTCACTGCTATGATAAACAAAGGTGCTATCTTCTACCGTTCCTCTATAAGGTTACAACTGGAGTAATAAAGGTTGTATAGCAAATACTGGATTATTGTCCTGTGTTATGGGACTAGATGTGTCCGAAGTGTGTTATGGTTGACCAAAAATGTCTAGAGTGACTTAGTGGGATTAAAAAAAACTCAAATGACTGGTTAAATTGTAGTTTAATTTAAAATAAAAAACTTTTTTAAAATTGAAATAACAATATATTACATCAAAGTCAATTTGAGTTAATTTATCTAATATATAATCTAGATTATAAAACTACAATAATTTCATAAAAAACAAATTAAAACAAAACATGAAGTTTAAATTATAATAAATTCAATTTTTAAAGATAAAATTTTGAAAAAATCCAAAAAAACTTGAATTAATTAGGATTAACATGTCAAACGAATACATTGAATTATAAGATTAAAATAATCTCATAAAAATTAAACCAAAATAAATTATAAAACTAAATTTTTATTAAATATAATATTGAATAATAAAATTAAAAATAAATCAATTAAAAAAACTAAAATACTATTTCAATAAATAATGCTTTAAGAAGATGAACAATAAATTTACCTCCTCATTTAGTTTTGGTTAATAATAGTATCTTTCATTATTTATTTTTTATATACATAAATTACGATAGAATTAATCTTTTTAAAATATTTTTTGAATTTGTTTTTTTTTTCTCAATCAATGCTTTAATGGATCTAGCCTGACAATGAAAGATAACCTTTTTGTCAATTTCTAAATTCTCACTCTTTTTTATTTTAAAATTTAAACTTGAGATCTCTTAATCTAAGTCATAACTTCCATGGCATCCTTAGAATTTTTTCTCAGCTCAAATTACATTATAATTACAGTTACAGTTACAAAATGCTTTGATGATTTAGCATGTACAATGAGGGATAACCCTTTTTCCAATTTCTAAATTCTTTTTTTTTTTTAGAATTTGAACTTAAGATCTCTTAATATAGATCATAACTTCCGTAGCATCATAACCCAATTTTTGACTATTTTTATTTTATTTTATTTTATTTTTTATTTATAAAAAATAATAAGAAATAAGAAATAAATAAAATAATGATGAAAAGGTAAAATAAAATTTAAAATAAAATAAATAAAGAATAAATTAAAATTTAGGTCAAGATAACATAAATGGAACATTTTGGAACTTAATTAAACTTTTTATTAGTTTAATTAATCAAATTAAAAGCTTAATTGAATAACTGATAAGTTTTGAAACTTAATTAAACTTAAAATTAGTTTAATTAATGAAATTAGGAGTTTAGTTGAAGAAATATTAAAATTTAGAGCCAATTAAGAATTGAATTAACTTATTAAAAAAGGATTATCTTGTAAATGACGATAAAATCCAGGGGTCCAATTACAATTTATCTAAGTGCTTGTTACAAAATTTCAAAACTCCAATGATCAAATCAAAAGTAGCCATTGGAATGGGAAAATGAGCCGTTTCAGGGGGAAAAAAACTATTCATTGCCTTCTTCCTTAGAAACTGTTTCAACAGTAAACTTAGTGGAGTCGTTTTAGCAGTATAGGCACTAAAACTGTTTCAGTCATGGGGCACGTCTCATGGCTATTATCCCTCGCTCCCATAATACATGCTGTTACCAAGCTTCGACCGCATGACATTCTCTAGCCTTGTAAAATCCAGAGAAGGGCCATGAACCAAGAGGCGAAAAAAACATGAAAAATAGTGGAGAGGGACAGACAGATGAAGAAACAGAGAGGCTAAAAAACACAAAAAAACGGTGGAGAGAGAAAGAGGGGGGAGAGAGAAAGATAGAGTGGTACACACGAACATAGAGGAGAATGGGGGAAGACAAAGAGAACCCGAAGGAAAGGGGGGGAAGACGCATACAAAGAAAGACCAGGGGACGGAGAATAAACCAAGAGAACCCGAGGATGAACTGAAAGAAGAAAGACAAAATAGAAACAAGCACGAAAAGAAAGTAAAAATACAGAGAAGAAACCAGGGGAGGAACAAACGAAGAAGAGGAGCAGAGAAGAGAAAAACATAGAGAGACATAGGCACACACCAGAACAAACAAACATAGACAAAGGTTGCACCAAGAGAAAGCAAAAGAGAAGAAAGAACCAAAGGAAAAGAAAACGAAAAGAGGAACAGAGGGGTCCAAGGCACGCCATTGCCTTCGTCCAGGTAAGTTTCTCCAGCTTTGCAAGATAATTCACCAACACCGTGCACTTGCAAATATAATTATCTTAGGAAGCGCGCGTGAACAATTCACGCACAGTAGCGGATTCAAACCAGTTAAGTCTAGCCCAGCCCGTATGTTAGGTCAGGATTAGTTTCATAAAAAAAAAAAACAAATTGAGCCTGGACCTCAAGCCCAGCTAGCTCAATTCCCTTTATTTTAGTAATTTATATTTTGATACTTGATTAAATAAACTCCTAGAAAATTTTAAAAAAAAAATAGACCCTCTTAAATTTATTTGTAGGTTTTTTAGGGTTTTTCACTGTATATTTAATTTGTGAATTTTTACTGTGAAATATAAATTTGGTATTTAATACATTTTGTTTTTTTTTTCCTTTAAAAAAATAAAAATAAAAATAAAAATGATGTATGTTTTGTTTTATATTTATTTTATTAATTTATTCACTAGTGTCAAAATTAGGAATTGTTTTTTATGTAATATTAACTAACGCTAAAACTAAAAATATTAATAGCTGAATATTCACTGGCATCAAAATCATGAATATTATAGGCAGACTATTAAAGATAAAATACAATAAACCTTTAGTAATTTAAGATAATATCAGGAATGTAGCCCACCTCAAGTAGAACGCTTAAAAAATGATAATATCTTTTTTTTTTATGTAATTAATCTCATATTATATAATCTTAATTAACTAGTTAGGATGTCCAATGATCATAATATTAGGTAAAGACATTTTAAATGAGATTTTTTCCTAAAACAATTGCCAATAGTTATGTTCTATCCATGAAAATTTTAATTTTTTTAAGGTTGGTATGATATCAAGTGCAAAAATATCCCTACTATTTTTTTTCTCATCTCAAATTACATTAATTATAACATATACAAAAATGCTAGGTACAATACTCAATTTTTTTTTTCATCCTTTTATTCTCAATTACAGCCTTCATGAACTAATTTCTTATAATTTATTAGAAAATGATAAAATTCAACATAATATCATCAAAGTGTAAAACAAAAATAAAACATGTCTAGCCAATGTAAAATTTATACGAAATAGTACTTTTCAGTCCATCTATTCTTTTTTTTTCTTCATTTCACTTTTTTTCTAAATATTTTACTTTTAGCATAAAATCTCATTTTTAGTTTGAGTAAAAAGAAAGAAGCTTGTAAAAAAAAAGTTGTTAATTGACTATATTTTGGTCAATATAAAAGATGTTTTTAGTATTAATGAGTTCAATAAAAGTGATGTTTTTTTTAATATAGCCAAAAAAAATAGGTCTGGTCCATTTGATTTTTTAATTTAATTTATTTTTTAAAAGTTATTTTAAAATATTTTAGGATTGATAAGTGATTTTTATAAATTTATATTATATTTTAAAAATATTTTTACTTGAAAAATAAACTTTTAAAGGTCTGAACATTAGGACCATGATTTTCCGGTCACAATAGCCTGAGGAGGGGCTCGAGGTTTTTTATTAAAGCTAGAAGTGTGGCCCTGCACATAGCATTTGGTTTCTTTTTTAATTTTTTTAATAGTAATTGATTTTCTTACATTTTTTTCAACCTGCATGTTGTTTTGTTTTGAAGAGATTAGTTTCATGTGTAATGAATTTAATTTTTATTATATTTTTAAAAGAGATTTTATAAAAAAAATTTCATTTTACATTTTGATCGTAGTATTAATGTTTTTTATTAAACAAAAGGAGTTTTTTTGAGATTTTTTAAACCTCGATCCATCTTGTTGGAAAACAAATTGGGGTTAAAATATTTGTTTTTATATTTTTAAATTAATTTAATAATATTTTCAATTGAAAAATTAATCTATTGACTTTATAAAAATATTTATTATATGTTTTTAGATGAGAATAGATTGAAAAATACTTATAATAATATGAAACTTATATAACTTAAATTTAAGTGAGTTTGGTAATATAATAATAATAATTATAATAATTATAATTACTATATTATATTATATTATATTATAATTATATTATAATATTTTTTTGTTCTTATTTTTTTGTTTTTTTTTTGTTTTTTATGTTTTTATGAGTTTTTTTTGGTTTTTTTCTTTTAATACATTTTTTGTTTAATTTAGTTTATTAATAAATCTCGAATTTGACGAGTTAATCTGATTTGAACATGAATTAACTGAGTTAACCTTTCAAATCAGGTTAATCTGTCAAAACCTTAAATTTTCGTTATAAAAATTTGATAACTAAATAAAAAAAATTGACGAGTTAACTCATAATTAACTAAGTTAATCTGTCAAGCTTGAGAAATGTGTCATGAAAGGTTGATAATTAAATAAAAAGAAATTTAACATTAACAAACTAAACTAAATGAAAAAAATTAATTAAAAAGAAAAAAAACAAAAAAAATAAAATTCCAGGTTAACTCATCAAATCAGGTTAACTCATCAAAATTAGGTTTCATTAAACAAAAAAATTATTAAAAGGAAAAAAAAACAATGGCAAAAGGCAAAAAAAACCCATAAAAGCATAAAAAACCAAAAAAACAAAACAGAAAAAAATGAATATATATATATATATATATTATAATATAATAATAATAATAA